TTATATGTTATCCAGCTCATAAGACATGGGTGGTCAGGGTCTGTAGGCCTTGCATTCATTAAAGGAATGCATATCACCCGCCGTCTAAAAGTTTCAGACTGAGACCATCTTATGTTGAGACATGACAGAGGATTATTTGTTTTGGTTCAACCTTGAAAATAATCTCATCAGGTATTGTGAGATGGTCACAGTATGTATTATAAACGAATTTCAACTACTACAACCTAACATTTTGGCACAACATCTGTAAACTTGACTAAACTATCAACAGTCTTGTGCTGGCAAACTGCAGCGGCCATCTTAAACTGAATTGACCCTAAAAGTGAATACGTTGCACAGATACATCCAATGATTACTTTGTAAAAGTTGCATTCAAATCTGTTCAGTGGTTTATGAAATATTTTGCTAACAGACAGACAGAGTTAACTTTAAATAGTTAATGTTAAGGTTTTAAGCAAAAGTCTTTTACAATCTGTTAGCACCCAGAAAATTAGCTAAGCCAAAGTTTAGCTAATTTTCTCTAAAATTCACAGAGTTATGGCTATTTTTATGTTTTTAATGTAAGTTGGCTGTGGCGGCCATCTTGGATAGGGCAAATGTAATCAGTTGTAGATGCACTTTCATTGACACCTGTAAGTTTTATCAAAATTCATCGTGTGGTTCATGAAATATTTTGCTAACAGGCTTTAGACAGATGCTACATGCGATACTTCCTGTAGAAAAGCAGCTAAAATAAGAACATGAAACATTTCACAGATCTGAACAGTGTAAAGGCTGATCTAGTCTTTGTCAGGTTTTCTGGAGCCACAGATGTTTATTCAGCATTTATTACGTCACACGAGGAAGTGCTCACCAACAGCTCCGAACAGGAGACAGATAAAAACCCTGGAGCCACCAGATCCCAGATCAGCAGAGCCTGATGAGGAAGTACTCTGCACTTCCTTACTGTGTTTTTCTGCTCTCTGCTTCCTCCTGGCAGGAGGAATAAGTTGAGCTTCACACACACAGGTGTGTTTTTCCAGAGGCTGACGAGGAGCAGGTCACACCTGGGGCTGGGAGAGGGGGACTCACTGCGACCCACCGCTCACTGAACCTGTAAGTGAAACCCTGTTGTGGTCGTGTGACATGGGAGGATTTTTGGACCTGTTAAAACTCGTTATGCCTCAGTGAGGCGAGTCGGTGTTGTTTGGGGCTTGGGGGGGGGGGTCATGTTGTGGTCTGAAAGCGGTTGGAAAGACTAAATGTAGAGAAACGGGGTCAGAAATGCTTTTTAAAAACAGAAACCTGTTGACAGACAGGACATGAGCAGAGGAAGTGGTTTGGAGCAGTTTGTATGAAAGTCTCTGTAAATACTTCTGTGTCCTAAAATACTCGTGGAGTTGAGTCACTCAGTACTTTCACCTTTAAACACACAGGTGTGACCTCTCCTCGGGGGGTTCCCACCAAAACACATTCACACCTTTTCCATTCATTCATGGTTTGGCTGCTGTCGGTGACTCAGGGGGTAAAATTAGAGCAGGTGGACACTTTTACTTCCTCTCTCTTGGCGTGACAGGGGCTTTCTTAGCACGGCATGACGACAGCGCCTCGAGTCATGAGGCTGTGGTCGCCGCTGCAGATTCTATCAGCGCGCATCAGACCACAATCAGTTTGTCTGAAAACCCCTGCCAGACCACAGATGTGCTTCCTGTGTTTACAGAGCCTTCTTCTTCTGACACCTGTCAACTGTTCCAAAACACGGGCCGTCGCTGTGGAGACCAGCCAGAATAAGGAGACGAGTCAGACCAGGACCCGGGACTCTCAGTCTGCCATGGACCAGCAGCACGCCAAAGTGGAGCGCTTCCTCAAACTGGGCTACTCTCACTGTGACATCGTGAGGGTGCTGGAGAGCCTGCACCACGACGCCCAGACCAACGACATCCTGGAGGAGCTGATAAAGACCTGCCACACCCGCAGCCCCCAGCTGGTGCCCCGAGGCTGCAGCCCGGGCCCCAACAGAGCCCGAGCCGGCCCTGAGCGAGAGCCCCACACCAGCTTCAGACCCGTGGTGATCGATGGGAGCAACGTGGCCATGAGGTGAGTGCTGGGTCTGGATCTGGATCTGGATCTGGATCTGGATCCCCCCAAATATCAAACGCTTTGTTGCTTTTCTCCCTTTTTATCAAAGGGAAGTTTTATTTTAGTAAAGCTGCTTTTCTCTGCTTCTCCACTGATGTTCTTGTTGATCACAAACCAAAGACATAAACATGTTTCTCCTGCTGCTTTCATCTGACATCATCAGAACCTGAGGAGAGCTGAAGTCGTTCATATTTTAGTCAAACTTTAAAAATGAGTGAGTTCTCCTCAACCCAAAACCTGCAAGAGTTTCAGCTAAAGTCCAAGAAATTACTCAAGCTACAGTCAAACATGTATTTTGTAAAGAGGCAACTAACTGATATAATAAGTTAAATAATGACAAAACATAGAAAGTTACCTGCAAATTCTGATGTTTTTCATGACTAAAATGAAGAAAATTAATTCAAATAATAATATAATTATAAAATAACCGAAGAAACACTTAAAAATCAAATTTTACTAGTTATGACTAATATTTACAGTATGTAATGTTTATATATAAAAACTTTATTCAGGGATATTACTTTCAGTGGGGAGAGTTTTCAGATATTTTACTCAAGATTTGCTCCTAATATTCAAGCAAAGTAAAAAGTACTGTGTAAAACTACTCCTAAAAGTACATTTTTCCAGAGTAAATGTACACGCAAAAAAATCTAAATGTTTTCGTTGAATTTACTTAGATAAATATGTTCAGCAGGTTCTACTCAGTTGAATTGAGTAAATCCAAAGTTATTTTTCATCTACATTGTGAAACCAGTGAATGTTAAGTAATTGTGTTAGATTTACTCAGTTCAGTTGAGTAAATGAAAAAGTTTAGTTTTTATTTTTTCAGCTCCCACTGAACGTCTGAAAAAAGACAGTTTTAGTTTTGTTGGAGCTGACTGATGTCGATCAGCTGACCAACACTTTCTGCATCTTTGATTTAAATCTGTGCAGCGGTTCATGAGATATTTTACTAACACACAGTCTGCTTCACCTGTGTGTTAGTAAAATATCTCTAGTTGTGTTAAAGCTCAAATATGCACAACAGGAAATGATGTCAAGGTTTATTTCTTGAACAAAACAATGTCGCACGTAAAAACCGTTTGACGTCACTTTAAAAAAAAAACAACTTTATTTTTCCTTTTCGTTTCCTGTAAAGATGTTTTTAACAGTAAGTTTGTGTTTTCACCTGCGGAACGTAAAAAAAAATAAAATGTTTGTGTTCTCAGCTCACAGATTTGATCACTTCCTCTTTGCAGATGTTGTTGTCTCGTCTGCAGCAGCATTTCGACATGCGTGTGGTTAAAGTTTTACTACCGGTTGAAGCGTTTGCCTCTTGAGTTTTTGATCTTTGGAGCCAGTTTATGGTTGCAAAAAGAAAACAATGTTTTGTCCCAGTTCGCTCGTTCAGCAGCTGTAAACGTGCAGCTCGAACTGATCTCATGCTTAACCGACCTCAGTCTGTTCTGAGGGCAAACCGGCTCAGGCGGCTGCAGGAAACCATGTGAGAAGAGTGAAAGAGAGGCCATGTTTTCTCAGCACAAACTGTCCTGTGAGGACATGCCAGCAGCTGAAAGAGGAAGAAAACTGAAGTATTTATTCTCTGAAGGGTTTTCCCATGTGAGGCGGGCCGAGCTGCTTCAGTCTGAGCTCTTCTGTCACTTTTAAAGGCTTTTATTTGGATTTAACAGAAATCAACACATAAAAGCCTGATTTACAGACGTGAACGTAAACACCAGATTCTGCATAAAAGTTCAATTTTATTTTACTTCCAAGGTTTGACCCAAAACACACTGCAAAACTTACAATCTTATATCAGCCGAAAACTGGTTTTCATCTTATTTTGAGACTAAACAACAGCAGAATATGTTAGATTATTAATGTTCGCCTGGAAATTCTCCTTATTAGAAGATGTTTTACCAAGTGCATCTGTCTGAGTCCACTCTCAGATTATAATCTTGTATATTTAATTAAATTTTTAGACGCTGTTTTTGCAGTGCAGCTACGTCTGTGTCACTGCTCATATGAGGAGTTTAGTGTCGAGCCAACATGGAAGCCAAGTTTGCAACTTTAGACTAAGAAGTAAACATCAGCTGGAAGAGCAGGAAGACCTGAGGTCAAACCTTATCTGTTACCTGTTGTATGCAAAACAACTCACTACTTCCTGCTCAGGGCTAAAAGGGGAACTCCTACCCCCACACACACACACACACACACACACACACACACACACACACACACACACACACACACACACACACACACA